GGCCAGCAGCCGGCGACTGATCTGCATTGCCCGGGAAGAGCGCAATGATGGTGCCAACTTGGGCCAGTGAAGCAACGTCCTCCACAACTAGACTGAAGACCAGAATGACAGCAACTTGTCTGTTCCCCTTCCCCCAATTCCCCAGCGCTGTTCCCATCCCAATTCCCAAATAAAAATCTTTAAAAAAATAAAAAAGAATGTGGTCTTTCTTGGTGAACATTCCATGGGCACCTGAAAGTTGTGTTTTCTGGTGTTGGGTGGAGTATTCTATAAATGATAATTAGATCCTGTTGCTTCATTGTATTTTCAGATCTGTATCCTTGTTGCTTTTCTCTCTAGTGCTTCTTTCTGTTGTAGAGCATGGCCTTTTGAATCCCCAACTGTAATTGCATATTTATCTATTTCTTCTTTTAGTCTATCAGTTTTGCTGTATTTTGAAGCTCTGCTTTTTGGTTGCTTGCACATTTAAAATTGTTGGCTTTCCTGGTGCTTTGATTCCTTCATCATTACGTGATGTCCCCTTTGACTCTGATAATTTTTTGTTCTGAAATTGACTTTATCTAATAGTGATATAGCCATGTCTTTTAAAAAATTAATCGTGCGTGTATATCTTTTTCCATCATTTTACTTTCAACCTATCTGTGTCCTTATGTTTAAAATGAATTTCTTATAGACAGCATATTGATGGACCATAATTTTTTATCCACTTTGCTGATTTCTGTCTTTTAATTGATATATTTAATGCATTTACATTTTCCCCGTTTTATTGAAAAATAAATGACATACACCATTAAGTTTAAAGCATACAACATGATGGTTTGATTTACATATATCATGAAATGATTACCATAAGAGGTTCAGTTAACATTTATCTTCTCATATAGATACAATAAAAAAGAAAAGAAAGGAGAAAAAATAAGAAAAAAGGGAAAAAAGTGTTCCTTGTGATGAGAACTCTTAGGATTTACATTCTTAGCAACTTTCCTTTTGTACAACAATGTTAGCTATAGTCATCATGTTGTACATTAATTACATCCCTAGTACTTACTTTTCTTATAACTGGAAGTTTGTATCTTTTGACAACTTTCTTCTGTTTCCCTCTCCCCACACCCTCTGCCTCTGGTAACCAAAAGTCTGATTTCTTTTTCTGAGTTTTGGGTTTTTTGTTTGTTTGTTTGTTTTTAAGACTACACATATAAGTGAGATCATATAGTATTTGTCTTTCCCTGTCTGATTTATTTCAGTTAGCATATTGCCTTTAAGTTCCATCCATGTCATCGCAAATGGTAGGATTTTTCTCATTTTTCATAACTGAATAATATTCCATTGTGTATGTATACTGAAACTTCTTTATCCATTCATCCAAACAATACTTAGGTTGTATCCATGTCTTGGCTATTGTAAATGATGTTGCTATGAACATGGTGTGTGTGTGGGGGGGGCGGCAAATATCTTTTTAAGTTAATGTTTTTGTTTCTTTTGGATATATCCCCAGAGGTGGATTTGATGGATCATATGGTAGTTCCATTTTTAAATTTTTTAGGATCTTCCATACTATTGTTGATAGTGCCTGTACCAATCGACAATCCCACCAACATTGCACAAAGGTCCCCTTTTCTCCACATCCATGCTAGTATTTATCTCTTATCATTTTGTTGATGGACATTCTAACTGGTGTGAGGTGTTATCTCATTGGGGTTTTAATTCGCATGTCCCTAATGACTAGTGATGTTGAGCATCTTTTCATGTACCTATTGGGCTTTTGTATATCTTCTTTGGATAAATGTCTGTTCAGGTCCTTTGCCCATTTTTTAATTGGGTTATTTGGGTTTTGCTACTGAGTTAAATGAGTTCTTTATATATTTTGGATATTAACCCCTTATCAGATATATGGATTGCAAATATTTTTCCCATTCCTTAGATTTTTTTTTTGGCTTTTTAGTTTGCTGTAATCCCACTTGTTTATTTTTTATTTTTGTTGCTTATTCTTTAGTTGTCATATCCAGAAAATCATTACCAAGATCCATGTCAAGGAGCTTTAGTTCTATATTTTCTTCTAGGATTCTCATGTTTTTAGGTCTTACATTTAAGTCTCTATCCATTTTGGGGTAGTTTTTTAGCACAGTTATATTTAAGCTAATTATTGATAGGTCAGGGCTTAAATCTGCTATTTTGTTATTTGTGGGGTTTTTTGTTACTTCTGTTTATTCTGTTTCTCCTTTTTTTTAACCTTCCTTCCAGTCATTCAAACATTCATTAGGGTCATATCTTGCTTAATTTTTAGGTTTTCTGAGTATATTGCTTTGTATATACTTTTCTTAATTGTTGCTCTAGGTATTACAATATACATACGTAACTTATAGCAGACTAGTCATATTGACATTCTACAATTTTGGGTGAGGTATAAAATCTTACTTCAATTTAGTTCCCTTTAATCTTACCTTTTAAGTATAATTATCTTAAATATTTCCTCCATGTACATTGGACACTACATTACATGATGTTATACTTTTTGCTTCAACCACCAAATATGATTTAAGAAACTCATGAGAAGTAGAATAGTTATATTTACCCTTTTTATCCATGTTGATGTTCTTTTCTTTATGAAGTTCTACCTTCTGTTTTCATTTCCTTTCTGTTTAACCAATCTTCAAAGGTAGGTTTGCCAGCAACAAATTCTCATAAGTTTACTTTGCATGAGAATATTTTTCCTTTATTTCTGCAGGACATTTTCACTGGATATGGAAATTTTGGTTAACAGTTTTTGTTTGTTTGTTTTTTGTTTTTCTTTTAGTACTTAAAAGACAACTATTGTGACACTTCCTTTTAGCCTCCATGGTTTAAGATGAGAAATCTGCTGCCATTTGAATTGGTGCTCCCTTTCAAGTAATGTGTTATGTCTTTCTGGCTGCTTTCAAGACGTTTTTCTTTCTTTATCTTTAGTTTTCAGAAATTTAAGTATTGTGTGTCTTAGCATGGATTTCTTTGAATTATTCTGTGTGGGATCTTCTCAGCTTCTTGAATCTTTAAGTTTATACCTTTTGCCAAATTTGGGAAGTTTTCAACTTTTATTTTTCAGAACACTATTGTAATTCCATTCTCTCTTTTCCTTTCTAATGTATCATCCTTCAGTGATATCAATGTTACATCTTTTAGTACTGTACTCCAAGTCTTTGAGGTTTTTTTCCCAATTTTGGGGGCCTCTTTTCTCTTTGCTGTTCTTTAAATTCTATTGATCTGTCCTCAAGTTCACTGTCATCTCCACTCTAGTATCAAACCCTTCATATGAGCTTTTCCAGTTATTTTTCAGTTCTATAATTTCCATTTGATTGTTTTTCCTAATTTTTGTTTCTTTGCTGAGATTTTCTACATTTCTTTTGTCTCTAGAGAATTTATAATTGCTTTTTGGAGCACTTATTTGATGATTGCTTTAAAATTATTTTTGGATAATTCCAACATCTGATACCTTTTGATGTTTGCATCTATAGATTGTCTTTTCTCTTTTGAATTGTGATTTTCTTGGTTCTTGATATGATGAGTAATTTTCAATTATGTCCTGGACATTTTGTCTATTATTTTAGGAGAGTCTGGGTCCTATTTAAATCTTTTTTCATCAGGCAATCCTTTTGTTGATGTATAGTGCAAAAGTTGAGTGCGTTCGTATGTTCAGCTTCACACTGGACCCTGCTTATACCATCCCAGCAAAAGTGGAGCACTGACTCACATTGCCTCAATGCAGATGAGTGGTGCGGAAGTTCAGCTCCCCCCTCAGCCCTGTTTACTCGTTTCCTATGTAAGGAGGGCATTGTGTCACATCACTTTATTGCCTCTAAGTGGGGATGTATCAACTCCCAGCTGGACCCCAGGTGCCCAGAACAACAGGAGGTGGAGGACCAACTCATACTGTTTAGTCCTTGCACGGTAGAAGCAGAAACTGACAGTGCAAGAGGTTAGCAACATTGTTGCAAGAAGTTCGCAAACTTAATTGTCAGACCACGTATGATCATATAATTATACTGTATCCTGTTTGTTTTTTTTTCAGTGCGATCAAAACTCCTGTGATGACATGTGGTCAGAAGGACAGTATGGTAAACAAATTGAGCTTTGACTTACAGAATAAAAATAAGCACTTTTTTCAGCAGGCTTTAGAGGTCAATGCTTTGAACCGTGCATTGAATGAGAATGGTGAGAAGGCAAGAAGATATTCTCATTAATTTACATGCATTGTAACAAGTCTTTTCAGTTGAACATGAGAGAATAGACCTGTGTTTTGTGGTTAATTTCCTATTCTAATATTGGTGATCAACTTAAAAATATTTTCCTTAGGTAATAAATGCCCTGAATTAGGAACTCTTTCATATTTAAAGTGTATATGGGAAAATTAATATTGATTTCAAATTACGATATAAATTCAAATACTTACATTATTGTATTATTTTCCTTTATAGATTACTATTTTACGTGGGAAAATGGAAAAAACAAAACTGCATCAGAAAAGGTAGAACCTTAGATGCCCTAGGTTGAAAGATTACAGATCTGTCTCTTCGGGTTAATTTTTTTCTAATTGTAGTTTGTTGACACTTATTTTGTCACTCCAAATTCCTTTCACCAGCCCTTCTGTCGACTTTTTTTTCCAGGCTGGAACAAGAATTGGCTTTTGTCCTCTCACAGCAGTTGGAACTAGAAGATCTCTTGACCAATTTAGAGGTGGCTGTGAAGGAGCTCAGTAGGTCTGTTGATCCTCAGCATGGAGATGAAGAGTTTGAGAAGACGTAAGTAACTGAATAAAGATCGAGGAATGGGGCAGTACCTAACTACTATAAAAGGGGGGGAAATGGAATAGAAAGGCAGGGAATAAAAATTGATAGAAAAATGGACAAGTTCTTGTAGTTGCCATTTATCAGCTTATTTTCCTGTTTCCTGTTTATCTTTTCAGGATGCTTGAAAATAAAGTAATCATTCTGGCAATTTTGTTTTATAGCATTTTATAGAATGTTATTAATCTTAAACTTATACATGACCACTGTAAAGTTTTTATATTTGTCAAGTTGGTTCTTAAATTAGAAGTACAAATTTTACATGTGTGTGTGTTGTCAAAGTATTGGGTGATATTTATGGTCTACTATTTGTATTGACTCTTTTAAACCTAATGTTCATGCAATTGCTTCAGTGATAAATTATTTGCTATTTTAAAGGCAATTTGTTAATCTGCGTGCAAACTGCATCACTTTAAAAAATTGAATGATTTTGTCAATGTCTTGGGCTGGATATATCTTATTTGTGTGCAATTCAGTCTGCTTTTGGTCAATACATTGCCAATGTGCCCACTGTAACGTTCTCACTCTGGAACTGAGATTTGTTTATCAGGCCAACTTATAAAGTGTTTTGGGAGAACTTGTATGAATGTGCTACATAAACTAGATTGAGATTAAATCGAACTCATTTTATCAATGGTATCTTAGTGAGTTAAGAATGAACTTATTTTTAAGAGGTTTGCCAGTTAACTTTTTTGTACGTGCATTAAGTGTAGTAAGTATGTTTAATCTGTATGAACCCTTGTTCTGTTTCTGCTTTTGTGTTTCAGCCTTTGTAAATGATTTACTTTTGTTCGCATTGCATTCTATGCATTCTGTTATTTTTTTTTTAATGCATGGCGTTGTGTGTTTGGCTGTGAGATCCTATCTATAGTATGAAGAAATAATTGAAACATTAGCTTTTTTTCCAATTGCTTTCATATAGTCAGATTTATAATGTAATAGAATCTGTACTAGAATCTTCAACAATCTAGGCAACCAATTACTTATAAGCACTTTGCAACAGAAGGACAGTAGATAGTTATCAATAAATCTAATTGAATTATTTAACCTTTATAGACATTAAGATTGGAAAACCCTCTGATCACTTTAATCTCATAAATATATACATTGATTAGACTGTGTGTGTGTGTGTGTGTGTGTGTAAATAGTTTGGGTGGAAATCTTGAGAATTTAGTCAACTAATGAATTTGTGGTGAACTTAGCAGATTATCTGCCTTTGATTATTGTGAATTTCATGTATCAAAACATCTTTTGTTGAAAAAAAAAAAGCAGTAAACCAGATGGGCATGTGTCACGTGGTAGCTTGGGTCTAGGGCTATGTGAGCAGAGTTAGTGAGAAGTAGAGAGAGGTGGTATTTTCAAGGTCAGGCCAACAGGATTTGCTGATTGGATTGCATTGAGGGGTCTCACATATTTCAACACATAGTAGATGCCCAATAAATGTTGATTGACTCACTGAAAAAAAATCATCTTTTGTTGGATGATGGAGTATATATTTATATGAGGTTTTACTTCGAAAATGTATGTATTCAAAGTCATTGAAGACATCTCTGCACTTACTGAATACTGCCAAACACCAAATAACTCTAATAAATCTAAATGTCCTATGGGTTTATTTTGACACCAAAAAGAGTTCCTGTATTTTACAGCTCCTTTGCTTTGGAACATTATCCAGAGGGTAAATAGGTGACTATAAAAATGGTAAGGTAGATAAAAGCCTTCACCTATGGAGTCCTTTTAGAATATAGTAATAGTAAGATCATGAATGCCGAATCCATAAAAATGTGCCATTAGTCATAACTGAGACCCACTGAGAAAGTAGGGGAATTGGGGCAAATCCAGTTGGCAACATCATCTTTGTATGTCAGTAACAATACATCAGTGGAGAAAACATTTTTTGTTTATCCTTTTAGCTGCTTTTCAGTTACAAATTAGCAGAAAATATAGATGCTCAGATGAAAGGAATGGCCCAGGATCTAAAGGACATTACTGAGCACCTGAATATGTTTGGAAGACCTGCTGACACTACTGAGCCAGTGTGTTAACTGCTTTATCTACTTAAGACAACTGAGATTTAGTATGAAATTAACATCCTGTGGTTCCTCTAACTAGTCACCTCTTGTCCTCTATAGTACTCCTTATCTACCGTATTTGCCGGCGTATAAGACGACTGGGCGTATAAGACGACCCCCTAACATTTCCACTCAAAATACAGAGTTTGTTATATACTCGCCGTATAAGACTACCCCCTCTTCCGCACACCTTCCACACACCAAATAAAAGGTAAAACAATATCAGATTTGATTTGGCCCACTGAAGTGCAAACAAGCGTATTGTATTTCGTGTCACCACATAACCGTTTTGGCGATGTTGAGCCACCATGTCTGCTACATGTTTTTCGAGTTCTGGCCAGTGTGGGGTGCCTCTTCTTAATGCACACTTACCCCTTGGCATACTCTTTAATGCTTTCTCATTTGATTTCCAGTCCCGAACCATCTTTTCTGTTACTCCATATTGTCTTGCAGCAGCACAATTATTATTTTCCTTAGCAAAGTTTATAACTTTCAGTTTAAAATTTGCATCATACTTCTTTCTTTTGGCTGGTGCCATGATAGGGATGATAGGGGTTTGACTGGTCGACATTTTTTATGCTGTACTGTACAATGGTGCAGTATTGTGGTTGGCTGTTGGCTGTATACAAAGCCTGATTTGATTGGTCCCTGCTCCCTGTTTGCCCACCCTGTCACTATAGCAGTCTGGTCCACCCTTGCATCAGCATCTCTCTGGGACCTCACTAGTGCGCAAGTGCGAGCTCTTCAACATTCTAACAGGCACCATGATAGCGCAAAATCGCGAATCTTCAATGCATATGTAAAGAAATATACGGTAACCCGAATTTACCACACTCGCAAAATCGCACACAGCCGACCATACACCCAGTATGGTATCGCAATTCGCGATTTTGCGCTATCATACTGGGTGTATGGTCGGCTGTGTGCGATTTTGCGAGTGTGGTAAAATCGCATAACAGCAAAATCGCATAACAGCCGAGCATACACCCAGCAGCGCTGCTGATGCCTGAACGGTATGTGGAATGAAGTGGGCGGGCATCGGGAGGCCACTATGGCACGGGGCAAGCACTATGGGCAGTCTATCTGAAGTGTACCTGGCATATAAGACGACCCCCCACTTGGAGGCATATTTTTCAGGGCCAAAAAATCGTCTTATACGCCGGCAAATACGGTACCTACAGAGAAAAAGCTCTTGGGTGTAGCTAGTGGGGCAGGAAACATTTAGGGGCAGAAAAAGTTGTGAGTTTTTCTGATTATTCCCAGGAGGATAAAAAAATGACCTTCCTCCCTAAATTTTCAAGGTTTTTTTCTTGTTCTTGACATAATTCAATCTATCCCTATACTTATCTTTCTGTTCACTTACTCATTAGTTCATTCTTCTTTTTATGTATTTATCCACATATTCATATAAATGTGAGTATATATGTTTGAGTCTGCTACATATATCTAGGCAACCCTTAATTTATGATTAGGTTATATCTTAAAAGTTTGTTAAGTCAACTATTTGAGACTTAAACTACATTTTTCATAGAAACTTAGTTACATATGATTATTAGGTTTCCACCTGCCCCTACTTAGCTCATAATCTAAATGTATTATAGCATGGGAATATACAGCTGAAGCTCCAATGAGAGTTGAGATGTTTTGAGTTAATTTGGTGGTAAAAAAGTATTGCCTTATTCTCTTTATCTATACTCTAATTAAAGGGCTTCTTTTCTCTACCTTTCCCTTTTGTTCTATCAACTAAATGGAGTCCTCCTTTTCCCCACTCCCACCCCATGGCAATAATGGTAAGAGGAATCTCCCTTTGTGGGACCTCCCATTGTACTTTCTATCAGTTGATTATGATTAGGAGTGGGGCCAGGATTTGAGTTCTTTATCTACATACATATTACTAGCTTTTTTAATTGTAAAGAGACAGCATGGTATAGTTGAGAAAGCCCAATAATTTCATTTAAGTCACTTAATCTCTCTGGGTCCTGGCTCCTTCTTTTGCAAAATGGCGAGGGTGGACAAAATGATCTTGAGGTCCCCTCCAGCCATAAAAATTATACCATATTCTACTTTGGATACATCTAAAGGTGAACAAAGACAAATATAAACTGGTCTGGGATCATCATGCTACCATTTCCCTGTGTTCATTCACACAGATAATCAAGAGTTGACACAATAAAAATTTTCTTTTTAATGAAATATTAGAAAACCTTTGTGATTCCAAAATTCAAAATTGTTTTGCTGTAATAGAATTGTAATGCACAGATAAGTATATGGAGATTTAGACATGAAGCAAAGCTGATGTCTAGTCTCTCTGTTGAATTAATATTAAAAGAAGTGTTACAAACAGAGTGAGTAAAAGGAGACTGTAATCCTATCCTTATCGTTTTTCTCTACTTAGACTTGGATTGTTTTATTTTATTTTAGTAGTGGGGAGTAAATGGTTTGAGCCTTTTGTTTTTCCTGGCATGGATGATTGAGATGTTTAGAATGAGTGAATTAAAGGATAATTGCTACGTGATAGCAGGACAAAAGAAGCAAGAGATTAGTAGCAATTCATCTCTTTTCTCAGAAAGCATAAATCATTAGACAGTAAGCAGAGAAAACATTTACTCAGCAATAATATTCTTGTAGATAATTTATTGTAACCAGATCAACAAAACTTCATTACTGTGGGCCATGTGCCAGGGTAGAAAAATAGCAACTAGGTTTAACAGTATTCACAGTGATGGGAGTTACCTCTTTATTTTAACCTTTTTTAGGGGGAGATGGAAGAGACCACCTAATAGCTAAAATTTTTATTAAGCAAGTCTATATTATAGTGTATGATATTCAGTCACATTTTCTTTCAAAAATTTATTGTTTCTACTACAAATTATATTTCTATTTGTTATAGTAGAGTACACTAAAATTGCTGTTGTCATTACCCACTGTTCTTTTAAGTGTGGAAATATTTTCATTTCTTCCTATTATCAATATTATCCTGACTTTGATGGAATATTCATCAAAAGCGTTCTAAAATTTTTTTAATGTTTAAAATTTTGTATTACAAAGTTAATACATATACTTATCCAATATATTAAGCTTATAAAATATGGAAATCTGTAAAGAAAATTAAATCACCTATATTACCAGTACCCTGCCAATACATTGGTGTATTTCTTTCAAGTCTTTTTGCAATACTGGTAAAAAATTCTTTCATTTTAAACAGCATTGGAAATATAACTATATAAAATTTTGTATTGTATTTTTTTAATAATCTTTCAGGGTGTTTTCCCAAAATTTTAACCATTCTTTGAAAACATGGTTTTAATGATTCTATAATATTTATTTTTTATTAAATTTATTGGGGTGACATTGGTTAATAAAATTACATAGGTTTCAAGTATACACTTCTATAATACATCATCTGTATATTGCATTGTAGAGGTAACTTTATCATAATATATTTAACCTTTTTTTAATTGATGGAGATATTGTTTCTGATTTTTTGCCATTATAAAATTGCCCTGTAATGACTAGTTATGTTTAGATTTGACTATTTCCTCTGGATGGGTCCCTAAAGTAGAATATACTGAGTTAAAAAGTATGAATATTTCAAGGGCTGGCCAAGTGGCACATTGCTTAAGAGCTGGCTTGGTACGCCAGCTCTGAGCAGCAGGGCCCCGGTTTGGATCCCACATGCGGGCCAGTGACACTGTGCCCTCTACAGCTAAGATGGTGAACAACAGCTCAACCTGGAGCTGGGCTGCCGTGAGTCGCTGGCGACGACATAGGATGCAGTGAGGCTGCAGTGGGCTTCCGTGAGCTACCATGAGTGGCCGGCAGCCAGTGTGAGCTGCCATGAGCCGCTGTGAGTGGCCGTCCAATGGACGGCCAGCAACTGCTTAACCCAGGAAGAGTGCAATGATCACAATACCAAAATGGACCAGTGAAGCAACGTCCTCCACAACTAGACTGAAGAACAAAAGGACACCAACTGGTCTGTCCCCATTCCCTGATTCCCCAATGCCATTCCCCTCCCCCAAATCCCCAATAAAATATGTTTTTTAAAAAAGTATGAATATTTTAAGACTTTTGAGATACATATATTGTAAACATTTACATTTTCAATGGTTGGGTCAATTTATATTACTATTAGCTATATATGAATGCACATATTTCCTCCACACACTTGACAACTGAGTATTACCATTTATTAAAAATTGCTGATGTGGAAATCTTGCCATTCACGACAACATGGATGGACCTTGAGGGCATTATGTTAGTGAAATAAGTCAGACAGAAAAAGACAAATACCGAATGAGCTCACTTATATGTGGAATTTAAAAGCAAGAACAAACCAAGCTCATAGATAAGAGAACAGATTGGTGGTTATTAGAGGTGGAGGGTGGGAGTGGTGAAGTGGGTCAAAAGGTAGAAACTTCCAGTTATAAAATAAATCAGTCACGGGGACGTAATGTACAAGACAGTAACTATAGTTAATAATACTGTATTGCATATTTGAAAATTGTTAAGATTGTAGATCTTAAAGTCCTCATCACAAGAAAAAAAATTGGAGCTATGTATGGTGATGGATGTTAACTAGACTTATTGTGGTGATAATTTCACAATATATACAAATATTAAATTATGTTGTAAACATGAAACTAATATAATGTTATATATGAATTTTACCTCAATAAAAAAATGCTGATTGGTGGACCAAAAGTAATATTTAAACTTTTTTATATGAATTTCTTGATTTGTGAAATGTCTCTTAATATTCTTATTTTTGTGGTAGTCAGTTTTTTATTGAATTGTAAGAATCAGATTCTTGACAGTTGTAAAATAATTAGATGCAATAAACATTACAAATATGAAATAGCAAAAAAAGGTGTTAATATTTAATACATCCTCAGTCCATTTCTTACCAGAAGAAATGAAAAGTCACTTCTTACTTTCAAGTTTTTAGTTTATTTTTTGTTTACCATATCAGA